ATTATACTCCTTCGAACTAGGATTCCTAAACTTACTGCGCATACACATGGATGAAATATTTACCATTCATATTTGCTACTTTGCTGCGGTTTGTATACCTCACTTGTTCTGTTTTCATATTTATATTAAAAGCGTGGGAAGTCTTTTTTTCATCCATGCGGCTCGGTGATGAATTTCATATTCAATACAAAAGTGAGACCGAACACACTTAGTAAATTGCTCTATTTGAAAAGAATTTATTAACACCTATTAACACCTTTGAGTGTATATCGAGTGAAATATCTAATAAGTACGTTGTTATGTACTGTTCACATAAAATATCTTGAAGATCGTGTTATATTTATGTCACTGAAATGTAGCTAGCTAGAAGTCTGAATCTTGGATCTGAAGTGAACCAAGGATACGTGGTACATCGACCTTTTATGTATTTTAATTGACGGCCGCTAGGGTTCTCGCAAATATATTCAGCATTATTTGCCACTTCCCACTAAAATGAGGTGAGGTAACGGAAAAGCACGTTTTAGGTGTAAGAGTTGCATTCAACTTGTGATCCTCTGTTAGAGGGGAAATTAAATGTAGCATATTTATGAAACCATGGCAACCTAAATCAACAAGAACAAACTTCATCCCTTTGCTTAGTGTTCGTATATCATATTACTCCTCATACTCTCTTTCGGGTTCCTCTCTTTCTCCCTTCATCTTCCCCTCTTTCCATCCATCTTTCATGTTTTCCAGTGCTGCTAAAGGAAGAACTGAACTTTGAAAATGATTTGCTTTTATACCAACAACCGCTATTGCTGTTTAATAATCTGGACACTAAAATGGACCTGAGAATAACCCAGTAACCCTTTTTGAATGACCTCCCATGTCATCTATGTCTGCATTGGTACAAAGGATGTCAACTTGAAACATACACTACATAAAATTGTTTCTTTTTTCAGTCATTATGAACAGCCATAGCATTCATTTCAGTTTAAGATTAAGTTAGCTCTTGGGAGAGGGAAGGAAACCGAACGCATTCACGCTTATAAAAAGAAGTCATCGTCCCAATAATACTCAGGGTATCCCTTAACGAATAAATGGAAACCCTCTTTACTTTAAAGACTTGGTTTGTCTAAAGAGAACGCATCTTTCTCAGATTATGCTTCCATCTGCGTCCCATGTGTCATGTCATGGGAAAGCAGCTGCTTGTCAGGACGGAAGACGACCAAATTACGCGCTCTCAACTTCTCTCCAGGTTCAACCGAATTTCCATTCAGAGTTTTTCCCGTCTTCTTCTGCGACTTCAATCCCTTTCTGTTCTGGCCCTGAAATGACCACTCATTCAAAGTGCTGTGACACCGTCTAATAGCAAATGAAATGTCACCGTTACACAAATAATTTGAAGTTGGAAGTGTATTCAGTTCTTTAGCTGGAGGTGTCACTACAAGAGATGTTCTAAAAGCTTTTTTTAAATCGATTCGGTAACAGGCAGGTTGTTCACCTGAAATGCGGGATTCCGTTTGATACTGACTTTAAAGTGATGTCAGCTGGAGATTCAGCCAAACTAGGAAAATAATAACAAACGGTGTGTATTACAAGTACCCCTTTCCCATAATAGTAACATATTTTATTTCCTCTCAAATTATTCACATTATATCCTATACAAATACAGACCTACTCAATCAACTCTGTTTTAAGGGATTTATGAGATAGCAGGCACCACGGACTTTGACGTTTCGTCTTATATCCCTTTTTTCAGTGTCAATGTTCTTTCGAATTAAGAAGATATTGTAAAAAATCAACAATGTTATTCAACTGTCATCAACATCACGAAAGCGATAATTGGTTCCAGGAGAGCATAAGCTCATGAATAAATCGAGTCGCCATCTTTCCTCGCGGTAGAAATTGATCTCGAATTACATATATTTGCCGTTCATCTCGATTTGTGGAGCAATAAGGATAATTCATGAAATTTCAAAAAATCATAACAATTTTCAAACTTGTCATAAGACCTCCTCGTATCCGCACATGGAACTCACAGGCAAGAAAGCAGTGAAATATTTAGGACAATGAAAACGTCTAAGGCGATTTAGTTTTCAAATGTCAGTTCGCGGTTGTTTTCACTCAAGCTCTTCCAAGAAGAGAGAAAGATTTGTTTTAAAACAATCCACAAGATCACTTGTTTCACTGAGTAAGATCGTCACAATGTGAATAGGGGTACATAATTCTGTGATGTTGATCCAGCGAGCTTTACATGCGCGTGGATAGTAGTGACATTCAACAGTGACAGTAATGACCTTCTTATATTCTCTTCTCGGAACCGTCTTCATCTACTATGTGTTTTCTTAGTTTGTGCCTCTCTGTGCTATTTTAACGAGAGATAATTTGCTGAGAATAGGAGAGGACGCAAATCGACGTCTGCGAAGGATTGTTATTAGCATCTAAATGACCCCTATTCAGTCTGTAACTTCTATCCTGGTTCTCTCTCCCCCTCCCCTCCCCTACCACAAACAAAATCACGTCATAATGCGCGGTAAAAGTAATAACGCAAAATTGCTTCATTCTAAAACGCAACAAATTTCTTACGGATCCTATTACTAGTATCATGTGCGCATGATTTTTCGTGGGATATAGTAAATATATTATTGTTTCATTGTCACGCCTGTTTGCTGATGGTGAATTAAATATTTAAGATGAAGATGATCATATGAAGATGAGATATCTTTATTTTTTCTGAATACTCCCCCCCCCCCCCCACAACTAAACTAGCACTAGTTTATGCGACTCATTTCTACAATTGACATCCAGGAAGGCTTTATAAAATATGTGCTATCTCCTTAATAATAATTAGGCTGTTAAGGGAAGCTATTTGTCTATGATCTGGAATGACTGATTGCATATATCCCTAGTGTGTAATCCTGTGTTGGTGAAAGACAAGAGACTAACATTTACGTCATCCGTTATCTCAAAGGCAAATGTCTATGACTCTTAACGATCGCTAATGATCATTCAGTTCAAGTTTACGGGAAGACCCACAGCCTAAACACATCCCAGTTTGAGAATAGTATATTCTGTGTGCAAGTGAAGGTTAGTTTGAATTCACCGACTGGTTTTAGAAGGGGTTTGTAGCCGACGGGGACATGGGCTAGTCTTCCGTCACCGAGTTAAATGACGCAAACTGTCGTCCTAGTTAACAGCAAGGGCAAGGCGCGCAGTTTATCCAAAGTAAATATTCATTGGGATTCCACTAAGTTCACAACTACTAAACATACTTCAAGAAAGCGCCATACGCGTAAACCTTGAAGTAAAAAGGAGAGGGAGGGAGGGAGAAAGAGAGAGAGAGCTTTAAAGGTAATACAAAGTTTCGGGAAATTTTGGAAATTGGGTGGATAGTGATTCTTTGCAATTTTGATATATTAGGATAGACTCGATTTCAACAGCGTCAACGATCACTGAATATTGTAGGATCGCATATTCTTCCAATATGTTCATTTAAACCAAATTCATGACCCCATACCAACACATTGTATTACCTTTAATATTGGTTTTGACTGCGGATAGTGAAAGTATTTGTACGATAAAAAAAATAAATACCCTTAATGGATGTATCAAAACAGTTGCTCAACCAATGGGACCAATGGGACGACCTTTTCTAGGACCGCAAAGCCGAAGGAAATAAAAACGGATCACAGAGTACAGGGTTCGAATCCTGTTTCAGTACTAACAGATTAATGTACATTTGCCAACCTCAGATGAATTCTGGGGTAAAAACAGCTTTTTAAAAATGCATACAGACATAGAAAGTGTGATAAAAGCTTTACAAAACCGAAATATTGTCATTACATGATTGTATTATAAAAACGTGGCAGATTTTTATGTAAAAGTAGTATTTCAAAATGTGATGCCTTGTGCTGGTGAAGTTCGTTATAGACCTATGTGTTTTCATTTCAATACACGTGCAAGAATGTTTCTAACAAATCCTACTTATACGAAAAAGTATCAACCTGCATTCTTCTTGTTTACATATAGATGCCTTCAAGATCCAAATTTACAGCAAATAAGACAATTCAGAATATCTAAATCCATCGGACGTGTAGTTCTTGGCAAAATTGAATAAAAGATGCAGGGATTGTAATAGAAGAATGTTTGTTTGAATAAACAAAATGTTCATTCAAATTTTGAGATATAATCTTGGGCACATCTTGACCTGCATGGTGTGAGAGATGATTATGATAAACCTATGTCATTAATATGAGTGTTATTGCTGATTGGTTTAGCTTTTTACAACATATGAAAGATCCGTTTATCCTTTTCAACGTCTTGAAATTAGACAATTTTAGAAGTGGTCGTCGAAGTCAGATTTTAACTAAAATAGTTTTCTTTTCTTCCTCAAGGTAACAATTTCCAAGCATTTTTAATGATAATTGTGCAATGGAGATCATTACCATTATTTAATGTTCTTATCAAAGTGTCCTAATAACACAAAACCATGTACTTTGTAACATTTTGTATTTCCATTCGCAAGAGGAGTAACCATAATATTTACACACAATCTAAGCTAAACCACACATAATTATACAAGAAGAAGACAAATTAAACCTCAACCACGACAAACGATTATGGATAGAACGTCGCCAGAGGAGTTGGGGGGGGGGGTTGCGATCTGCACACATTGTTGATCGCATAATTGTAAATTCTCATATACCACAAAGTGAAACCCCTGTCCTTCCCCCACCACTATCTGTCTTTTCTTTCTACTTCTTTACATGTTTTGGTCGTTGGAGTATTTCAACATACTTGTATATATGCTTGTAGGCAAACCTGAAACTTAAGAAGATTCTTTTTGGTAGAAATATGAAATGAATGAAAGACTTTTAATGTATTTTGTCAAATTTTCGGTAAACGCCAATATTTTTCTGACTCACGTCTATGCAGAATGGTCAGACTACATTTTTAAATAAATAAATATTAAGTAATATTGTAATTTCATATAGATTATACGAAATAAATATATTTACCTCTGCATTTTTGCTCATGGTATTTTGTGACAGACCGCCGTCCCTCTTGCCAACTGTAAAAAAAAAAAGAATAGTAAAGTCAATGATGGGTACAAATATCTGCTATGACCTGCAATGTATTAATAGAACGTCATAGACTCCAAACTGATTCCAAAATGACAAATTTTTGGTCATTTGCCTTGGTCACATTGCCAAACCGATTCCAAACTGACCGACTCTTTGCAATTGTTTCTCAGTCATACCATTGTAACCGACGACAGACCGGCAACACACCGAACAAGACATTACAAGACAATAATTTAAACAAGAATCGTAATTTTTTAGTCGGATTCGAGTCATTTATGCTGCATAAATGAGGTATTAGGGGGTAATGTTTTATTTTGTTAGGTCTGTTTGCGGTATAGTGTTATTGCCATCGGTGTGACAGGATTCAACCTATCAAAAACCTATGGACAAAAGGCTAGTTATAAGAACGCAAGAAAAAAATAAACGGCATGCTGGGAATGGTTCAATATATCATTCTGTATCTCGTTTAAACTATTTTATATCTAGTCATGATTGGCGCCATTATTATATGACCTCTTTGTGCCATTGTTTCGAGCACTGTAACCACGTCACTCATCTAAATGCATGACAATGAAGCCTTGACTTGCAAGGTTTATTTGCTAAGGCAAGAGTAGTCATTCATATCTGGCTGAAAATAAATCATCTAGACACAAATGATGTTTGAATTGACTCGAATCAATGAAGTATAGTCAATTTGAATAGACGTCACGAAGGCCAATCTCATTCTATTGTTCATTGCAAATAATAGTCAATATGATTGACAGATAAAACTCTGCTAATTGGCATGGCAACCATTTTTATTGCATTTAAAACCAGCAGAGAGACCTAACGGTCGCTTAAATAGAATATTAATGACATAGACAATAATTATCCTAGGATTCAGCGTTATTTATCTTAGATATAATTAGTAGAGTCTATGCGATCCATAAAATCAATATCCATGTAAACCTGTCCTTTTCTTCATCATGTTTATTCAGTCAAATCTCCTCAAAAATTATCCAGCAGTTAATCAGAATGTCCGTACAATAGCTATTGGCAGAACTGTAAAAGCAATAAATGTGTGACCTGTAATTTGTGTACTATGAAATTTAAGAAGAAAGCTAAATATTGAATTATATGAAAGCTGAACCGTAAAGGAGGAGAAAAACGTGTTTTGAATAACTGCAAAAAAAGTAAAACATTTCCAAAATATATGATAACCATAATTGGAAAATGAAATGACACTGGGGTCAATAAACTGTAGTCGCTTCTTCAGAATGATTTAAATTTATGATAAAATACTAAATGATGGGGAAGAAGGGGTCGGTAAGAGCAATGGAAGTCAATGGGGTTCAGGGAGATGACTTAAGGATTATGGAGATGATTTGAGGATTATAAGGGGTGTAAATGCTTACCTCCTCCAGCACACAGTAGACTTAGTCTTGGTGGGCACTGTCGTCCTCTGGCTGTAACATAAATAAACACAAATATTTCTGGTTAATTGTCATAAATTTATGAACAGAAAAATTGATGAGTGTAATGAATGGGTAATTTTATCGGTTCGGATTATGATGTCTGTTATTCATCATATGTTATAGTTATGATTATAATCATGATTATAATTGTGTGATACACAGTTCGGTGACGTTCCATTTACCACGACACTTGCACATTACATGATCTTCCAGTCATGCAGAGAGAGTAGGACATAGTTGTGTAAAGGGTCGATCTTCCAGTCAGAGAGAGTAGGACATAGTTGTGTAAAGGGTCGATCTTCCAGTCAGAGAGAGTAGGACATAGTTGTGTAAAGGGTCGATCTTCCAGTCAGAGAGAGTAGGACATAGTTGTGTAAAGGGTTGATCTTCCAGTCAGAGAGAGTAGGACATAGTTGTGTAAAGGGTCGATCTTCCAGTCAGAGAGAGTAGGACATAGTTGTGTAAAGGGTCGATCTTCCAGTCAGAGAGAGTAGGACATAGTTGTGTAAAGGGTCGATCTTCCAGTCAGAGAGAGTAGGACATAGTTGTGTAAAGGGTTGATCTTCCAGTCATGCAGAGAGAGTAGGACATAGTTGTGTAAAGGGTCGATTTGAAACATCAACTTATTAGCCCGCTTACTATTACCTACATGTAAATAATAATATGGTGCAGGAGGCCATCAGACTTTAATTTATCTAACTTGATTAAGTGAATTTAGCATGTAGTTCAAGAAAACAGTTTGTTAACAAAATTCGCAGTGGCTTTATGAGGAATGAGAAGAATCACTTTTAGATGTTGATGTTCTGTCAGTAACTGCAGCTCCTTGTAACACCCAAAGTAATGTCTTGTTTGGACTTTGAGATGGTCTGGCTGTTTGATGTATCACAACAATCATGTTGCCAAATGCGTTAGAAGATGATACAATAATCATTCAAACTCAGTCTGGAGAAGAATCGGAAGTTGCAGTGTATTATGAAGACCGTTGATAGATCTATCCGTCATCAACTCGTTAAGGACACTTCAAAAGAAGATCATTTCTCTAATGCATCACATCATCATCGTACTTTTCTTCAAAGTCTGATGATTGCTGGCAACCTAAGAAAGTTCGCCCACCGCGGGAAGAAATGTATTCCCCTTTGAAAAAGCATCTTTTGTCAATGTCAATAACAAGAGAAGATAACTAATGAAATGGTCATTGGAGGCTATAACCTCTCTCCCTCAATACAAGGTGGCATCATGTTCTGAAATGACGTATCCTTGGTAACCCATCTATTGGTTACACCCCTGCTATCACATCGCGATTATTAAGGCGTGTTTTCTTGTAATGACGAGGAATCAGTGGGATCATTCAATTTTGGTTTGGAATTTTAAAACCTTCATCCTTTTTTCCAAATCATCTTGATTGGTGATCAATTTTCCCCGACTTCCCAAGTTTCCTTTTTCCTCCTGATTGTCTTTTATTCTTAGGTCTCCTGTGTTGTGTATCCTCTACTAAAATGATTAAAATACTCAATAACGCTATTGGTTCTTCAACATCTACGGTAGATCACGCTCGTGATCTTCTCTAAATAATCATAAATTCGATGTCATCCTCCTTCACTCTGCATTTTGATTTAAACCGTCAATGCCAACTTCATGTCCAAGTGTCCTTGGTTATGAAGTCTTATGGTTTGGTGACCACAGTATAGCAAATTTAAAGGGAAAATCCCATATAGTTGGTCTAATAATTAGTTACTTTATTCTCGAGACTTATTTATGGCTGTATCAGCGCCCAATAACACCAGGTACATTGAGTTATAACCAATAAATGTAGCACCTCACCATATATCACACTCAAGGAGTCGAAAATCTTGAAAAGCAATCCTTCGTCCTACGCTCATTTTCGACCCTACCGTACTATCCATCAATTACAAACAACATGTTTTACGTGCTACTTCATGGCCAGTCAAGATCTCAATTTAATTCTTCACGACTCCATCAAATTGATTCAAGGTTCTCCTGGGTACAGTTTAAATTTGCATGGAAGAGTCCAATATGGATCGAGTGCATTCTAAAATAGGGCTGACTGTAATCATGATACATAAAAGTCTTGTTTAATCCTTTATGAGTCAAGTAATGTTTAAACTGTACGCAAGGGGGTCGTTTCAAGAAACCAACTACATGACAGTCTTTGTCAGCGACGTACGGAGATGTCAGGAATTCGAGAACCCGTTTCACAAAACCATGATAAGTGACAAATTCATGATTTTGATACTATCGGCTAAAAAATATAGTCTCCGCCACGAGCTATCAGACTTTATCTAGAATAACCAACATTAATCTGCCATCGATTCGTAAACTCATTAAACAAATTCCCGCAGAAATCTCGCAAGAAAGCCGTGCATTGAATGATAAACGAATTATAATGAATGTATTGCGCACAGTGACTTCATAACCACAAATGGAGTCTTATAATTATGGAAGTTTACATTTGCCTAATTAAATCATTTTCGTCCTCATATTTAATGGGCTATCACGTTCAGGAGGAGCTGCATTAAATAAATTTTGTCTCAAGAAAATTATAATAAATCCATTATTTCTCTGTGTCGACGCTACTGATAATACATACTATAGACTTGTATACTATAGATTCGGAATAAATCTGTTCCTCTCCATTTTATGTCTGAAATACAGCACGAATGTTACAGAATCACGGAAAAGGTCGGAAGGAAAAAGAAAACACAAAAAAGCCGGCGACAGATCACTTGAATGGCTCGACATTTTTAACACGTGCTTGAGTTCGCGCCAAAAGTCGGCGAGTAAACACGACCTACTCCCTTGAAGTGGCAACCAATTTCCAACTCAAGATCACCAGAAAAATTCTTGAGCAAATAGACAACCAAGTCCGGAGCATGCATTATTGATTCAGGATAAATAGGATTCAAGTCTGTTGAGGAGGCAGTTCTCCTTAACGTACCCATTAAAAGAAAGATAATGTGAGGAATCGTTTAAAGACCAAATAAAAAGAGAGACAAGATGAAATCAGTGTACATCATCGGGTTCATTGGCAAGGTCACGGAGCATTACTAGTTGTCATAGTAATAACAAAACCATTAACAACGTCGTAATATACTCTTTAGATTGTAGATGATGCGCTATAATAGTTGATGATACCAAACACTTTCACCACAAAAGTATAGCGAGATTATACCAAAAATCCTTTACTATTCACATTTCATACTTTTTTAAGCGTTAAAGTACAAGATTGCATCAATAGCGTAGAATTCAGTAAGGTGAATTATAAAGATTCAGCTCAACTTAGAATAATATTAAACTGAAACCGATACACGATCTCGATGACAACTTTGCCAATGGATGAATCAACAAAGAAAGTCATTTGTGACTCGTCTTCATGCTGCTACGGAAAAAAGACAAAGAAAACCCTTCATGTCATAAGTTTTTGGGATCATATTCCTGACGATAGGTCTATTAAGCGACAAAACTGTGCAATCAAAGATGAGTAAAAGTAGATTTATATGTACTTCTGATGTTACACGCAACACAATTATTGTGTTGCGTGTAACATCAGAAGAACAAGATTGCTTATTATAAGCAATCTTGTTCATATCATGCTGATTTAATCTCATACGAACTTCACAGGAAATTGAAGGAACCGAGCAAATTATGGCTTTCTATTTTAGACATACAATGTAGCATTGATAAGATGGGGGCAGTGTATAGGTTCTTTCAAAGACTGGACAAAGGAATAAGTCACGATCATTTTCTCAATTAAAACCTGAAAAGAGAGTAGTCATTATTAATACCAATTTTAAACTAAAACTATTGTCTGATAGTCAATAATTGCTAAGGAAAGAAGTCCAAGTACATGAACTTATAAGATAGGTAAACGGAAGAATATTTGTATATTGACGGAACAATTTGTCTATGATTTTTTAGTGAGAAGAATGAAATAAAGAATAATAAAAAAAAAAATTCATTAAAAATATTCACGAGCTTTATATGCATATCATATGATTCCACATTGAGAATTACGCCGATCATGACAATGTTGCAGAATTTTAATAATGAATTCATTTATATGACATGTGACAGTTCTCTTGGTTACAGCTCACGAGACAGACAGACAGCCCATATACGAAAAGTTCACAAGACTAAGAAGCGAGACAGGTCTGCTACAAGACCGTTTTCATTACCTTAAAATGTTTAACCACTATTGATATTTTCTAAATGATAGATTGATCAAAAGGCACTTCTTGAAACACAAGTACTATTTTCGTTGTTGAATTAATGATGGCTTGAGGTCATCATCATAAACATTCTTGCGATGACGGAAAAATGGACATCATTGATCTCATCGGAAACAAATCGGAAAATCGAAATTTAACGGCCCTGGTGAAAGCGTAAACATAGGTTTTTAGTCATGAATAACGATTCAACTTTATATTTGGAGCGAAGGAGAAAGCGTGTCTGCCAATCGACGTTGCGATTAATGTTGAACTAGCTTGTTTTCAGATCGTATTCATCACATATTGCTTTGATTTGTAACCCCAAGCAAAATCAATAAACATGAATGAGTTTGTTGTGAAGAATCTGAAGCAGCACTTTACTGTACTATGGGGGCACTTTCTTTTATCTGCATAGTGGCTAGCTGTATAAGCTATATTAAGGTACCTGTGTTGCATTCACTCAGCAGGAAGTCGCGCAAAGGGGGAAGTGTCGGCAGATATGACAACTCTTTCATTCAACTCTTCTGTTGGAAAATTTAAAATTGATAATGGCAAAGCTTTTCTTTGAAACTTATAGCTGGTATTGATTAATTGAAAATTCAAATCCGATGACCATTTGTGTTTTCCATATTATCAATGTTTTGCTTGTTTTTAATTTTTTGTTAATACCCTTTTGGAAATTTGAAAAATGGTGGTTTAAATTGTTTATTCACAAGCCGTCATTATCAGTGAGTTCCACATCTCCATTAATTAAAACTGGTCTAT